GAAAGCTTTCTCCTAGCATCGACGTGACCCCCGGAAATCGCCATGAACCATGGCACACAACCAGAATCTCCACTCTCGCACTCCATCTATGGCTAGGGGATTTGGGGGAAGAAAGGAGGGGTGAAACTCACTGGCCTCCCTACCCCCTACTTAAATAAGCGCCCTAAGGATGGTGGCAAGGGAGTGGGTGGTTGGCATTAAAAACGCACTCAGGTATTGAGAGGGTTCCACAAAGTAAAAGCATGGGATACGGAACGGTTCAAGTTCCTAGGCACCACTATCCTTATCTTTTACAGGATTCAATGGCGCGCATGTGATGCGTTCAAACGGGAGGGAGACTTCCACCCGAAGGAATCCTGAAACTCGGGAAGGCATTACTGCCAGTCAGTGCGATACACACAACCGTCCCGATACTCGGGACCTTAAAGCTCTAGTTTGGTTTTGGTAAATTGATGAAACCTTAAGTGCTAACCTAGTTTATCAAAGTGATTATGAGATAGGTGGCACATTCCAAGTGGTGAAGCAAAAGAAGATCATGACATGATGATGATGGTGATGGCATGGTGATGATCATATTCTTGGACTTCAAAAGAGGAAAGAAAAACAAAAAGCTCAAGGCAAAGGTGAAATTGATAGGAGTTTTTCGATTTAGTGATCGAGTGAAAGGTCCTAATGGCTAGAGGGGGGAGTGAATGGCCTATTAAAAGATTTCTACAACAACACTTAACAAACCGGTTAGACAATTATGAGGCGAAGCAAGTGTTGCGCTAGCCTACTAAAAATGCAAGCCACCTACAACAATTCTAGTTTCTATAGTTTCTTTTCACATAATGGCTATGTCACTATACTAAGTTAGTGTGCTCTCAAAGACTAACTAAAGAGCCACATTAACCAAAAGCTCTCACAACTAGCTACACTAAAGAGCTTGATAACTAGTTTGCGATAATGTAAAGAGAGCGAGTAAGATGGTTATACCGCCGTGTCGAGGAATGAACCAATCAATCACAAGAATCAATATCAATGAAGACCAATCACCTCAGAATCAAATGATGACACAATGATTTTTTACCGATGTTCACTTGCTTGCCGGCAAGCTAGTCCTCGTTGTGGCGATTCACTCACTTGGAGGTTCACGCGCTAATTGGCATCACACGCCAAACCCACAATAGGGTGCCGCACAACCAACACAAGATAAGGATCACACAAGCCATGAGCAATTCACTAGAGTACCTTTTGGCTCTCCACCAGGGAAAGGTCAAGAACCAATCACAATCACCATGATCAGAGCCGGAGACAATCACCAACCTTCGCTCGACGATCCTCACTGCTCCAAGTTGTCTAGGTGATGGCAACCACCAAGAGTAACAAGCGAATCCCACAGTGAAACACGAACACCAAGTGCCTTTAGATGCAAACACTCAAGCAATGCACTTAGATTCACTCCCAATCTCACAAAGATGATGAATCAATGATGAAGATGAGTGGGAGGGCTTTGGCTAAGCTCACAAGGTTGCTATGTCAATGCAAATGGCCAAGAGTGAGCTTGAGCTGGCCATGGGGCTTAAATAGAAGCCCTCACGAAATAGAGTTGTTGGCTCCTCGGTCCAATAAAAAAGGGGACGACCGGACGTGCCGTCAGATCGACCAGACATAGGACCCAAGCATCCAGTCGTCCGATGCTTGCCATGTGTCATCGGCTTCAAACGCTGATCGTTCAATCTCAACGGTCATCGGAGCACTTAAGTTATGACTGGACGCGCTGTTCGAAGTGACCGGACGCACCAACACTAGCGTCCGGTCATTTCTAGTAAGGTTCCACTCAAGACCGGATGCATTAGTTAGATCATGCCTAGACGCAGGACCCCAGCGTCCGGTCATTTCCAGTAAGCATCCACTCACGACCGGACGCGTCCGGTCACGCCCGACCGACTCACCCAGCGTCCGGTCACGAAGTGACCCAGCATCCGGTCGAAGACCGACGCTAGCGTCTTTACTGCTTCCATTGTCCGGACGCTCCGGTCCAGTTGAGACCAGCGTCCGATGCACTCTGTGAAACCCTGTCTTTTATGTACAGGGCGCTGGTGGCACTGTTGGACTGTCCGCACTTTACGGGCAGACACTCCGTCGGTGAAGTTTCTTACACTTGCTCCCAAGTGCTAAACACAATGTGTATCACCTTTGTGCAATGTGTTAGCATACTTTCACAAACATTTTCAAGGGTGTTAGCACTCCACTAGATTCTAAATGCAAATGCAATGAGTTAGATCATCTAGTGACACTTTGATAACCACATTTCGATACGAGTTTCACCCCTCTTAATAGTACGGTTATCGATCCTAAATGTGATCACACTCTCTAAGTGTCTCGATAAAAGCTCTAGTTTGGTTTTGGTCGTTTCCTGTACAGAAAAGACAGGTCGTTTCCTAAATCGATCCTGTACAGAAAAGACAGGGTTTCACAGAGTGCACCGGACGCTGGCCTCAATTGGACCAGAGCGTCCGATCAGTGGAAGCAGTGAAGACGCTGGCGTCAGTCTTTGACCGGATGCTGGGTCACTTCGTGACCCGACGCTGACGGGGTGCGTCCGGTCCCGCTGATGTGGCAGCATAGAAAAGAGGAGAAAGGACCGGACGCTGATGCTGCGTCCGATTGTGACCGACCGGACGTGTCTGGTCGTGAATGAAACCTTACTAGAAACGACCGGACGTTGAGGTCCTGCGTTCGGTCACTTCAAAGTAGCGCGTCCGATCACAACTTAAATGTACTGATGACCGTTGAGATCGGACGATCAACGTTTGAAGCAGGTGCCATGTGGCATGCATCGCGCGACCGAACGCTGGGGTCCAGCGTCCTGTAGATCTAATCGACGTGTCCGATCGCCCCGATTTTCAGTAGACTGAGGATCCAATGGCTCTATTTCGTGGGGGCTTCTATTTAAGCCCCATGGCCTGCTCAAGCTCACTCTCTTGGCCATTTGCATTGATATAGCAACCTTGTGAGCTTAGCCAAAGCCCTCCCACTTATCTCCATCATTGATTCATCATCTTTGTGATATTAGGAGAGAATCCAAGTGTATTGTTTGAGTGATTGTATCTAGAGGCACTTGATGTTTGTGTTTCGCTGTGGGATTCGCTTGTTGCTCTTGGTGGTTGCCACCACCTAGACGGCTTGGTGCAGCGGTGGAGGATTGACATGAGTTGGTGATTGTTCGTGGCCATCTCCGGTGATTGTGAGGGGACTTGTGCCTTCCCCGGCGGAGCGCCGAAACGTAACCCTAGTGGATTGCTTGTGTCATTGAGTTACCTCATTTGTGGGTAGGTTCTTGCGGTGTCCAATTGTGTGGACGAGGTTCGTGCAACACCTTTTAGCCGCCGAACCACCAAGTGTTGGTCGACACAACGGGGACGTAGCGTGTTGGCAAGCACGTGAACCTCGGGAGAAAATTGGTTGTCTCTTGCCCTTTGGTATTCTCCTAGTGATTGAGTTAGTATTCATCTTGTGATTGGTTCACTCCTCTACGCGGCAGTATAATCAGCTTACTTACCCATTTACATTCCCGCAAACTAGTTGTAGCAAACTCTTTAGTGTAGCTTAGATTTAAGAGCTTGCTTTGTAGCTTAAGTTTATCTAGTGGAGTTCTTTAGTGTAGCAAGTGTGAGAGCTCTTAGTGAGTAGTGACTTAGCAAATTATGTGTCTAGTGATCATAGTAACTGAATTGTTGGATAGGTGGCTTGCAATCCTTGTAGAGCTAGAACAAGTTTACATTTAGTTATTTGTCATACTAATTAAATTGCTCTAGTTGGTTTGTAGATTTTAAATACGCTATTCACCCCCTCTCTAGCCATATTAGGATCTTTCAGGACCTTCTGACTGAATTCAAGCATCTCGGTACCCGAGAAGTGTTCATCGGGACCTACGGTACTCGAATGTTACAGGGACTCACGGCACCCGAAGGATGGTACAGCTCTATAAGCCCGTCATTAAATCCTGTGGGGGCTACTATCAGAGATATGGGCCCGATACCCTCACCGACCATATATCTGGCCCATCAACGGAGGACGACCGAGGAGGAAGCCCACGAGGACTAAGCGCATCCACCGACTTGGAGATCACGATGTATCAAGGATATCCGCCGTCATCACAGCTATGGTAAGATAGAATTGATTTATTGTAACCAACTAGGAATCCAATCTGTAGCACCGATCACCCTCATTGTAACCCTACCCCTCTGCCTATAAAAAGAGGGGTAAGGACTCCACGACCGTCATGTCCACCACGATACCATCGCCTCATTCTAATCTACCTTGTAGCTAGGAGCAACAGCCCCTGTAACCAAGCATACGAATATAAGAAGAAGTAGCAACTGGACGTACGGCTTTTACTCGCTTCCCGAGGGGTCCAATCCAGTATAAATCTCTGTGTTTCGTGTGCAACCATCTGGATCAGTCTACGCGATCACGTTGCTAGACATTACCGGAGCTAAACAATCCAACACCTGGTATATTGGGTTGAGTATTAGCCGACACTTGGGCCGAGCCTTGAGAGTCGACTCCCCGCTTTCATTTTCCCTGCAACTCCTTAGGGCTTGTTCGGTTAGTTAGGAATCTGCTAAGGAATTGTTCCAGCTCATCAAACGTTATATAAATTCCCAGCGGTAGGAATTGTTGCAGGCATGGTTTCTAGGTAACCGCTTAAGGGTCTGTTTGTTTTTCTCGAAATCTTGCACCGAAAGATATCCACCTGGAACAACATGCTAATTTATATAGCAATTGAATAGCCGAAACAAATCTGGCCTCTTTCGAACGAGCCCTAAAGGTGCATAAAGCTTGGTGCCACCGCAAATCACAGTATTTTGCGTCACCGAAGCCATCGATCATGATTCATGAAACCTAACTGGCTAACTGTGTACGGAGTAGAGTATTTCGGCCAGCAGCTAGACCGGGAGTCCGGGAGACCGGGCCCATAGGTGTAAGAACCAAGACAAGAGAACAATTCTGGAATGATTCCAGCGTCCGGCAGAAATCTGAGTGGCTCCAGTCCCCGTCGCCCCTGCGCCCAGCGTAGCACATCACTGGGGCGCGTTGGTAACCCCGTCGACGTCCTCGCGCTTCTCGCCGTGCATAGGTTTCGTCACCTCTTATTCGCGCCGCGCCGCGCCACGCCACGCCGATGCCAGTGCCCACACACTGACACACACCGCCGCGTCCACCTCCCGCTCTGGCCCCCAGACCAGATCACCACGGGCATGGAAACCTCGTCGCCTTCACTGGCCTCGTCGCCGGGAGCCACGCTCTCCACCGTGATCGCCGAGGACCGCCGCCGGGAGGCCCGCCGCCGCCGCCAGGGGGCCTTCGGACAGGGCGGTCTCCTCCCGTACCTCGTCCCGGCTTGCGGGCGTCCGGCCGGCCAGATAGGCGGCAGGCCGCTGCACTCTGAGCTCATGATAAAACTGCACCGCTGGGGCGCCACCTTCCTGCCCAAGGGCGGTGGCGCCGCCGTCGCGCGCGAACTCGAGGCGCGGCGCCGCGCGCCAAGCCCGCCGCCACGGCCTAGACCGTCGATGGAACCGGCTGCAGCGGCGGAGGCGGAGGCGGAGGCGGAGGCGGAGGTGGTGCCGCGCCACGAGGCGCCCGCCGTGAGTGTCCCCGCGAGGAGACCTTTGAGGGAGAGAGAGGAGCCGGCGGCGGGATCCAAAGCCATTGCCGAAGCGGACATGTCCGCCGGCGAGGGCGCGGGGAGCAGCGACCGGGCGACGCCGTTCGCTACCGTCGCGGGAGGAGGTGGGGGAACCTGTCTCAGAGTTTCGCCCAAGACGACAGTGAGGTCTCCGTCACTGCAGACGGACACGAGCAACGAGTCCCCTCGGTCCCTCGCCGACTCCCCCGCATTGGCCGCAGTGGCCGACGACAAGTACGTGTGGGCGGACAAGTACCGGCCCAATGTCCTCAACGAGTTCATCTGCAACAAGACCGTCGCCGACGAGCTCTACCAGCTGGTGATCACACGACCACATTGCAAACGTTGCTTCGAGTTGGCTTGCAGTTTCGTCTCAGAGCAGCTTTTAGGATTGTGGTGAAGTTCATTTGAATTTGATACATGGACAAGTTGGTTTGTTGCATGCAGCTTGTTGCACACCAGTGCAGCCATTTCATCTTTGAAGGTCCGCCGGCGGTTGGGAAGAGAAGCATGGTACTGGCACTTATAAGGGATGCTTTTGGCCCTCATGATCTCAAGGTCACTATTACAAACTTGGCTTAAGTTACTAATCCTCATTCTAATCTAACAAGCTAAATGGCCAAACCTTGATTTTCACAATTGCTTATGTTTGGTTCATTCTGACATGACGCAGATAGAGGAACAGACAAAGAGATTTGAGCTGAAGGTATTTTATATGCAAGAACGCGGTTTCCCATTTTTTAAATCCCTTGTCACTTTCGCTAAAGTTATCAAGTTCCTTTTTTCCTTCGTTGAAGTGACAAAGTTGTTGCTATTGTTGTGAATTCATAAAATGCAACCAATTCTAGAATCATCACTGACAGGGAGAAGTTAGAAAGCACATCGATGTCAGAGTGAAGACCTCCGAGCATCATGTGGAGGTGAGCTTGGCTGATTTACATGGCTATGAGAAGTACGTCATAACTACTTTGTTGAATGAATCCATACCATCACCAAACTCAGCTTGTGACCATACTAACTGCAGAGGTAACATGCAATATTTTGTTAATAAAGCTAGGAATTTCAAACAATTACATGCTCAGCATTGATTTGGCAGCATTTTTACATTGTGTTCAAGCATCAGTTGTTTACATACGTTCAGTGATTGTTATCCATGACACTGATAAGCTCTCGTCCGATCTTCAACATTATATCGGTTGGTTTTTGGGGAGGTATGCCGGGTGCAACAAAATCATTTTCTGCGGTTCTGATGCTTCTAATCTTGAAGCCATCAAACATCTCTGTAAGGTTGTGACTCTTCAGCTACCTTCCTTTGACGAGGTACTTCACTACACAACTTGTTGATCAGTGTTATATCTATGAATTTTTTTCCACTTATTGCACTAGACTGTTTGCTGAAAGATGGTTTGCTCTTAGATAATAAAGGTTCTGGAGTACATTGCAACGCAAGAGACCATTGATTTGCCTCGTGATCTTGCTAGGAGAATTACAGTTGGCGCAAGAAATAATCTCCGACAAGCAATACGCTCTTTTGAAGCTACTTGGAAGGCATAGTAAGCACCTTAAGTAGATATTTCATCTTCCATTTTATACATAAGAAATAAAATTTTAAATTTGGATAGTAGGAATTTGGAGTTGTCATAATATTGGTTTGCATTTTTTTAGATGAAGTATAAATTCCGGCCTCTGCACCAACTCGGATGCACAGCCATTAAACTTTTAAACGTCTAAATATGTGTGCTGATATTGCCATGTGAATAAAAAAACAATTGTGTATTATAGTTTTACAATGTGACTTTACTCCCCCTTGATTTCTGAACATTGCAAGTGGTATGGCATTTTTTCCCCGTAAAATACTGATCATTCATCAATTAAGGCGTATGTATATTTTGTCATTGTTGAGATGATTACGTTTTGAAACTGTGTTTGTATGACATTCTTTTTCCCGTAACAGTTATTGATCATTCATCAGTTAAGGTGTATGTATATTTTGTCATTGTTGAGATGATTAAGTTTGAAACTGTGTTTGCATGACATTCTTTTTTATGGAAGTTACTGATCATTCATCTCAAAGGTGCATGTATATTTTGGCCCTAGTTGAGATGATTACTTTTTTGCATAATGCTGAAATGAAGTGGCCGTTGGTGGAACTTCTGCATTTATCAATAAATCCACTTATAACCGCAGCTACCCGTTCATAGACGGTCAAGTTATTTTGACAGGATGGGAAGAGGAAATCTCTAATGTGGCCAGAAATATCATGGAGGAGCCAAGTTCAAAGCAGTAAACTATTCCTTGTGCCCTGATGTCTCATAGTTTAGCAAATGTGATTCCAGGGAAATGTTTAAACGTCTTAAGAGAAATGTTTTGTTTTGCTATGCGTACAGACTGTTTGTTATCCGGGGAAAGATCAGAAAATTGATTGAACATGATGTGTCACCTCATTTCATTTTCTCTGTAAGCTTTGCTTCATTATGAGTCTGTAATTTCTTTATTTCAGTAGCTTGTTTTTGCCAGATTGTATAACTATTCATCCTCCCTTTTTGTTATCCTTTGCCCTTGACATGTAGCACCTGGTAGCTGAACTGAAAAGGGACAAGGATGAAGACTTCCAACACAGTGTTGATGAACTGGCCTTGGACTTGAACCATGTAACCAATGTTAGCATCTGCAATGATCGTCCCTTTTTTCATTTTTCAGACACCCATGTTGTGTCGACTGACACACATTGCTTTGTTTGGTTCCATCTGGCTAGTTTAAAGACTGCAAGCTTCTAAAAGGGCAGCGCAAAGGGAACAAATCACCGGAGGCAGATTTGAAAACGAAAAATATGAACATAGATGATTTTGCCACGGAGGTTCATGACCATGGTGAAACCATCCAATGCTTCATAAAGATTGAAGGTATTAGCAATTCTTTTCATTTCTTTTTTTATTCTGAACTTCAGTCTAGTGAAGCAACTCAAACCTTGCGATCCCGGCAGAATTCACCGTGAGGTTCCTGAGCTTCTACAGATCTATAGTGGCAAAGAACTCGAATAGAGGCAGTGCTCAATGAAGAACGACTCATCGCTTGGGTCTACAGATCCCCTTGTTGGGGCTCTTGTACCTTTGGTAACTAAATAAGATGCGGTGTGTCTAATGTCTTCATATATTGTAAAATTTACCTGTATATGATGATCCCGTTTGTATGCACTTATGCCATACAGTTTCACAAACATATGTTACTATCATATAAAAATAAAATTGTAATTTAAAAAAAAGATGACCTGTGGTTTGCAGTTGCTAATGGAGAAAAACTATACTCATCGTTGAACCGTTAGTCAAATATATTGCCGTATGAATAACATTTCCCTTTTTGGCATGTCAAAAATTTTCTTTTCGTTTTGAAACGCTTTTGGATACTTTTGCTCCTTCGTCTACAGCATTTAATTAATTGTTTAGAATCAAGAATGCACCTGCATCCGTATAATGGAGTTTAAAATTAGTATTCTCCTAACTTTAGAATAGCCATGTTTATGTATGGCTATCAATCATCAGAGTCCTGGTTGGCTGGTTCGAGTGTCTCCTGTTCATAGCTCAAAACTCAGAACGCTGCGGCTTGAACAAATTACAATTCCGATTTTCTGTATTATACTAATGAAAAATATCTACATTTTCGTATCAAAATAAAATATTTACTTTCCATCAATGCATGAATTAGCATGCTTGTACATATCTGTAATTGGGTATGAACGTCTGCTTTGTTCATTCATTCAGCATATATAGCAAATTCACGTACCAAAAAAGTTCACATTCACATTTCTAAATTCCTTCAACACCCCGGCCGTGAGCTAGCTATCTTCTCAAACCTAACACGACACTAAAAAAAAAGAAAAAAAAGAGAGAAAAGGATCTAAACAAGAAGCCGGTGGCCTGGCAGGCACTCGGCGGTTAGCCAAGATGTATGTCACCGGTCAGGGCGCGATTGCACGCCACCGCTCGCCGGGGGTGATGTCGTATGGTCTGTGTCCTCCACCGCTGCCGTGCTGGCTCCCTGATCGTCTACCACGATCGCGATGCGTCCACCGTCGCCGCAGCGGGGCATGGTAGGCGGCGCGTCCAGTTCGGAGCGGCACACGGGGCACGTGGTGTGCGCGCCGAGCCACGAGTCGATGCACGCCGTGTGGAACGCGTGGCGGCAGACGGTGAGCCAGCGGACCGCGTCGCCCGCGGCGAACTCCGACAGGCAGACGGCGCATTCGGCCTGCACCGACGCCGGCTGGTGCGTGTCCTCGAACCACCGCACCGTGGGGAACGTGGCGAGGACAGCGGGGTCCAGACCGGCCGGCTTGTGCGGCGCATGCTCGTCCGGCGTGGTGTCGGCGCTGGCGCTGGCGCCGGACGCGGCGTCCGCATCGGCGGCGGCGCGGAGGCGGCGCCGGCGGCGCAGCCAGAGGGAGAAGAAGTGGAGGAGGTCGCGCAGGAGGAAGATGGAGAGGAAGCAGAGGAGGAGCACGAAGAGGATGAACACGGGCAGCAGCATAGGGAACGACTCCTGCGGCGGCGGCCGCGCCGGGGAACTCGCCGCGCCTCCGCCGTGGTGAGCGCGATGGTCGTGGGTGCCATTGCCGAGGAGGCGGCGCGCGGGCGCGGCCGTGGCCACGACCGTGTCCATGGGCGCATGGGGCGAGACGATCGGGGCCAAGCCTTTTAGGCGTGTGTGTGGCTCCTGGTGCTCGCGGGCGGGCGTTGGTTGGGCGTCGTCGGTGTGCAGCAGCGGGTGGAGGAGCCGTGGGCTTTACGGTGAGGTGAAGGCGACGCCTGGACGGCGCGACACCGACATGTACCGCGCGTGCACGGGCACCGCCGCATGGCCCCCGCCGGCCGGTGGAGACGTGATGCGACGTGTAGGGGAAGGGGAAGGCAAGGCGGGAGAGGTAGCCGCGCGTCGTGGCTGGTATCATATGACTTGTTCGGTGGGCGCGCGCTGCTATATTTGAGCTGCGTTCTCGTTCTTGTTGGTCTCCTTTTCGCATGTCGCTGGTCGCTGACAGTTGCCACGCCCACATCTGACAACGACGAGTAGCGAGATCAAACAGCGCAGTGTGGGCGCCATGCCGGGGTTTTTTTCCCTTCGCTTCGTTTGGCTGCATATAAATCTATCCTAATCCACGTAGTTTCGGAAATTCCACCTCAATCCCTTTCAAACCACGTGGATTGAGGTAGATTTATGTGTAGTCAAACAAGCCCCTATATGGCTCTATGGCAACGTCAGAGATTTGTCATGAACACGAGCATTTCCAATGGTACGGACGGACATTTCTGCGCTGAAACCGACGAGTTAGGGAAACGACACCGCTAGCTCCTGGACTCGCGGCTGCAGTCCGATTTTCTCGCATCCACGCATGGCCCGTGCTGGCCGGATGTTGCTCGCCTACGTCTCGCGGCCACGCTGGGACCCGCGCCGCCGAACATCGCTCGCGCCCCCTGCCGCTTTCCACGCGCATCCTATGTGCAACACCCTATCTACTTTGAAAACATTTTGATACAACACTTGCAATATTAATAAAAGAAAGATGAAACACTTGAAATATATATCTGAAACACTTGCAAAAACACTTGAAAATAATTGCAAACATACACAACATGCAGATAAAAACTTTTGCAATATATGTGTGAAAACATATGCAACATCCAAATAAACATGCTTGCAACATACGTTTGAAAAACATATGAAACATTGGAGACAGACTCTTGCAACATACGTGTACAACCATTGCAACATTTTGCAACATCCCAATCTAGTTTTGCAATGCCCCTATAAAACGCTTGACATACCTGTAAAACATCTGAAACATTTAAAATGTGAGCTTGCCACAAGCATCATATCTCAGTGCAGCCTTCTCCGCCGTCTGCATTAGGGCACCACAGGCGTAGGAGCAAGCAAGGCCGGAGAGCTTCCACGCCAAGGCCTGGCGCTTCTCCTTGCGCTGGTGATGCCTGTAGGCATCGTCGGGCTAGGCAGGTGGCGAAGCAGGAGCAGCAGGGTAGGAGCAGCGGGGCGGCGGCGGAGGAGGAGGAGGAGGAGGCGGCCGTGGGCGGCAGGAGCAACAGAAGGCCTAGGCGGAGGAGAAGCAGGAGCAACGCGAGACGGGCAAATGTCACTCTAGCCGGAGTCTTTTCCAACTCCTTTTCCTCCTTTCAATAAATGATTCCGAGGCGGCGGAATTGACCGTTATAAACTTTCCAAGGCACACCATAATTTCTCGGGTGCTCTCCGGCGACGCCTAGCCGTCTAGGACCGAAAAGTCCAAGAGTAACAAATGCAAATCACGAGATTGACAATATGCACAAGTGCTCAAGTGGTTGGATTACTCTCCTTTTGAATTTCACTCAACCTACAATTTGATTTGACAAATTTGATCAATCACTCACCAAGAGAGTTGGGAGAGTTAGCAAGGCTCAAAAACATATATGTTTATCAGCATAATCAGCAGCCTCCTAAGGTGGAGGCTTGGAGGTATTTATAGCCCCCTTGAAAAAACTAGCCGTTTTATAGTCGTTGCCATACCGGACACACTGCGCCAACGGTAACTAAGTTACAGTAAAGTTGTGAGGCATCGGAACTCCCGACCCTCAGTATATTTGAAAACCATGTAACTGAGTTAAAGTAAGCGAGGTGTCAGAACTCTCGACTCATGCCGGAACTTTCGACCGTCGAAACTCCTGACTCACGTCGGAACTCTCGACCCTCAAAGGCATTTGAAAACTAGCCGTTGGCCTCTGGCCAGTCCGGTATGAATACCGGACACATCCGGTATGACCAAGGCAGTGAACTCTTCCAAGTCAGTTACGCGAGACGTTAGAACTCCCGACCGTTATCGGAACTCCCGACAGTCGGAACTCCCGACCTACGTCGGAACTCCCGACGAACCAAACTAAGAACAACAATTTTATAGCTGCTGGGCAAATACCGGACACGTCCGGTATTACCAGACCAGCAAGAAATCAGTTAGCTCATTTGTCTCTCAAACACTCAAAACTCACATGGGTTGGCTTAAGCACTTATGAAACATTATCTATCAACATGATGCATTCCTCTTAATAGTACGACATTTCTATTAACTCAGATTTAAAAGTATAACAAAATTAAACCTTATGAGTTGATCTCTTTCAAGCGAAGCCGTGTATTCCAATCTTCATCAAGTGAGGGTGCCAACATATTGATATTGATCTTTTCACTTAAGCATAGCCATCTTGAACACGTGACTTAGATTCCATTCATTAAATATGAATAATCCCAAATGTATCAAGTCACTTCTATCAAATATTCAAATAGAGATTTGATCCTCCACATTGAAATGGCCATTATAGCTTGATTAGTATATCAACTAAATGCAAGTACTTCCTTCTTCACCCTAGCTAGGTTCTTCGGTCGCCAAGCCATCGCTTGCCCTTCACTCTTGCTTAGTATCTCGAAGTCTTTCCTTGCTATCTTCATCATCTCAAGCCATCAAGTCACATCTTGTGTTGAATCATCCATTCATGTATTGTTACCTTTTTCATCTCAATTTAGCAAGCTTCAAATATGAGACCATTCCATATGCAATCCCTTATGTCTCATTAATTAATTCTTACAAGCATGCTTTCACATAGTACATGAAAATCCCATAATAAATAAGCCTTTGCATGAATTCCATTTGCATTGTTGTCTTGTGCTTGAATTAGATTGTTTATACAACAACACATCATTTTAGCTTTCATTAAGTACCTGTGAGATAACATATTTCCTGTTCACACTTAGCAAACGGGTTAAACCTTTAATCACGTTGTCATTTAATCATCCAAAACCTGCTAAAAGGCTAGATGCACTTTCACTACTATTTCCTATAAGTTAATTAAACTTGGCAAAGTTGGTTCATCACGCATCTCATAGTATCAACTTTTTTTTCTTGAGGGTTGCCTATGGCTTACCTTCCATCTTTGGACTTACGGCATGCGGAGAGCCGGAGACTATAGCCACCTTTTTTTAAAGTAAAGTCAATCTACTATCACCTCGTCCCTCGCCTCTCGAGAATCGAGTCTCGAGCCCTGCTCCCGTTCGCCCCCACCGCCGCTGTGGACGCGGACGCGAGGAGAGAGGACGAGCCGTCGCCCGCCTCTCCGCCTCCACCTATTCCTCGCCTGCCCTCTCGCCCCTCGCCCTTGCTCCATCGCCCTCCTGTTCACGCCCGCCGCCGTTGAGGACGCGAGGAGCGACGACGCTCCGGCGCCCGCCTCTCCGCCGCCGCCTCCTCCTGTCACGCGAGGAGGGTACCGCTGCCACTGCGCAGTAGCCTCTGGTAAGCTCCTCGAGTTCCGATTGTCCTGGTGCGGTCTGGGTTTCCCTTTTGCTTGTTTGCCCTTGAAGCGTTTGATACAATGCCTCAAGTCAGTGCGTGCTGAGCGGCTGAATGTGCCAAATTCAGATGCTTGTTTCTGATCCAAACATTCTAACACAATGAAATGGCTTAATTTTGCTTATAGTGAAGAAACAAGTGAAGAGTTTGCGGTTGTGTTTAATTTGTACTGCATTTCTGTGTTGAGTGATATCAGAGGCATTGGTCCAGTTTTTTCTGCTACTTCTTTTCCTGGTAGATTCTCCATGTAACAAACTCTAATATGTGAGTGATATGTTAAGGGATGAGATCAAGTTTCCATACAACATAGGGCTTACTTGAATGTGTTTTAGGAATATGAGGTGATTGCCCGTACAGATTGTGTATCTTACATTACTTCCATCGATCATTTGTGGTACACACTACAGTTTAAGGCAACAACAAATCTCACAATGGCATTTGTGTCTCTTACATTAGTTCCGTCAATCATTTGTGTTACTTAATCCATGACTATATTCACTCACAATTTTTTAATCTGAGAGTGCTATTGTGCATTTTTTTTTTGGGTGGGGCAGGTAAACGAAACATGACTTCAATGCTAATGCTATATGCTTCAGGGCATGTGGCAGTTTCTTCACTTTGCACTTTGCGTTCTCTGGAAATAAAAATGTTTCCTTTTGTTTCCTAAATTGGATCAGAATAAACAGATTGCTCTTTCTATGCCTCATGGCTCGTAACATCATTTCTTATGTAGCACTATTATCACTGTATTTGCATTAATCATTTAATTTGGAATATCATGGTAAACCGTGCATTCTTTTACTCTAGTGAGCATTCCATATTGTACAAAGTTCTTTTAATGGCGATGTTCTACAAAGTTTGTACTCCCTCCATCCCAAAAAGCTGGGTCTGCATATGTTATCTATCCTCTTTTAGCTGTCTCCTTGCACATGCTTCTAAACTCTTGTTGCTATAGATATTGAGCCACTTAAACTCAGTCTACTTGTGTTTTGACCATATATTGGAACTTTAAACTGTATATTATGAATTCCCTATAGACAATTGCTCTAATTCTGAGGCATATTATGTAAAGTGTACTTTCAGCCAAATTGGGAAATTTCCTATAAAGATAAGAATGATCTTCATGCCCCTCTTTGTATTTTTAGGGTGCTGCAAATAAGGCTTTGTGTTGGTGCTGTGTGAAGCATAAAGCTCTAATTAAAACAAGGTTCATGATCAGAGACTATTCGTTGTTGTAGGTTTTAGATGCTTTATGTCAAAAATTTTGAGGCTCACATAGTAATGCAAGGGCATCTGCTAGTACCAAAGTAAAGCCCACACAAGAGGCACCGTGGCATTGGCAACGGTGTTCCACTAGTCCCTTTCTCTGGTTTTCTTTTCAGTCAATCAAAAAAAAAAATCCTGAGCCTGACGTGTTGTTCTTCGGCGGCGGTGCCAGCGCCGGCCTCCTTGCTACCTCAGCTCTGCCGGGCTAGCCAAGAAAATCATCTGATTCTAGGTGGAGAGTCATGTTCACGAATGCGCAGCGCCAGGTCGAGCGCACCGGCCATTCCGGGACTCCGCGAGACCAGTACCTTCAGGTCAGTCCTGTCCCTGTTTTTTTTTTGGGAAAATTAGGTGAGTACCATTAAAAGATCTCTGGTTTAGAAAAATACCACTCAAAGATTCACTTTTAGAAAACTAGCAATCTTTCGGTGCTACTTTTCTAAAACTGAATCTTTCAATGGTATTTTTCTAAACCAGAGATCTTTTAATGGTACTCGTCTAATTTTCCCTTTTTTTTTCTCGAACACGCCGGAGAGCTGCATATCATTGTATTAATAGAAGAAGTCCTGTCCCTAGTCGTCCCTTTGTTTTTTTTTTTATTCCCCATTGATTGGTGCTGGCGCTGGACATTCACCTTGCAAATCCGTTTCTCGCTGATTAACCTGTTCCGCTTGATTGTTTGTGTCCAGGATCTCGTGACCCAGTTCCAGAACGCCACGGATGAAGGTTGGTGTCTACCTTACGCTTGGTTCTTTTACAGGCCGCCGTGCAGCCCACACCCTACAGCCCAGTCTCTGTGTAATTCTCTAGCTTCTTGAGTGCCAGTTTAGGAAGCAGTTTCGGCAGCAATGCACTTTAGTCTGAAAATTGTACTAGTAATTTGTGTGATTAGAGGTGATGCTTTGTTGCTCCTGGTTGATTGTTTCATTGGGATGGGATCTATTACATGGATTAGTTCAAGTGGAAAGATGTTTTAGTATTGAGTTATACTTCACTATTGGATACTATAGACAATTAGAGCAGATCTAGAGGACAAAACAAAGATATTCAGCATGAGCTAAACTGGTATAAACATCTAGAGGGAAAAATGAAAATATGCAGCACAGACTAATTCAACCACAACAAGAACATCTGGTCCGTGTGTCGGCAGTACTTGCTATATGTATGCTTTCTGGATGCTCTGATTAGATTTCAGACAGATGAGCATTGAAAAATTATCCCGTGTGGTCAATTTATAAAGGAGAAGCTCATAGAGATGATGTATTCTTTATGTTGAACTCTATAAGTTCCATGCTATTATAAATTGTACACTCACTTTGTCTGTCTTGTTTCAGAATCTAAGGAAAAGATAGCTGCGAACTTGGCAAATTTTGCTTATGACCCTTTTAATTATGCCTTCATGCGCCAGGTTGATTCCACTAAACTTTTCTTTTGGAACACTTGTTGCAGATTTCCTGTAAAGACAATCTTGAATTGGCTTTATTACTTTACAACTGTTCAATAACTCTGCTTTTATTTTCTCAGCTGAATGTTCTTGAGTTATTCTTGGACTGCATTACAGAGCCAAATGAAAGGCTTGTCGAGTTCGGCATTGGTGGAATATGTAACTCCTGTGTTGGTGAGCAACACAATACCTTGAATTCTATGATTTATTATTCGATGTGAATTCAATGAAGCGCTCAACACCTTCTGTATCCACCTTTCTACATGCAGATCCTGCAAATGCTTCAATCATTACTCAGTGTGGTGGAATCCCATTGGTTATACAATGCTTATCGAACCCGGTGCGGAATACTGTAAGTATTTCTGAAGCTAATGACACTATAACATTAGTACCTCCAAATTCCGTACATGTAGTCCTCATGTGAACAATTTCCCTTTTGATGATTGCATGACAGGTGACTTATGCACTTGGGGCTTTGTATTACCTTTGCAACCCTTTGACAAAGAAGGAGATCCTGAAACCAGATGTAGTTAGGACTATAAGAGAGTATGCTTCAGCTGGAGCTGTCAGTACCAGCTTCAGCAATCTGGCTAATGCTTTCCTGGAGAAACATGTTGATCCATGATATTCTCTGAGAATTTTACATGCTGTGTTTCATATTCTTGATATGAGCTAAAGAAACTAGAGCTCAGGTGGGTGTGTGGGTGTGTGTGTGTGGGGGGGTGTTAAAATTAAAGTCAATTTCAAGCCCATATTTGCGTCCATCTGATGTTATTAGAGCATGTACCTTGTTTCTAGATTGAGAGCTATGCACAGTGTTCAGTTCGGAAGCTAATTTGTCGTGGTTCAGTTTTTCTCCAGTTATTTGTTGAATGATTTGAACGTTAGCAGATGCCTTCTTGGATTGTCATCTTGTCAATTGCTTGTGAATGAATATTCACTGAAGCTGCAGTGTAGCATCGTGAGTTACTTGTTTTCCCTTTTCAATGTCTAGCCAGCGCGGCTGGAAGACTACCTAAGATGGGACATGGTAGATTTCCTCACAATTTTACGTATCAAATCACTCTGTCTCAAACTACAGGTCGTTTTGACTTTTCTAGTGAAATAGCTTTTATTATCGTGCTATCTAGATATACGATATGTCTAGATATATGATCTAGAACAACCAAGATGACCTATATAAATTGAATCGGAGGGTAAATAAGCCCATGCCTAAGTATGACCCACGCATATGTAGCTTGTTTACTGTAATAATTCGGGTGCGATCAGAACATTTCAAGAATTGTAGCGAGATGACAGCAGGCGGCAGCATCTTCATGTTCTACTTTGCCCAATGTAAACACTCTTTTTCAAAATGGAAGGGCTAGTGCCCGGACGTCCGGATAGGATATCACGTTCGGACGCAGCTCCCCCGCTCGCATCCTGTCTCATGCCCCGCGTCCACATCCCCTTCCCACCGCGTCAATTGCACTACCGCGCCTACCCCGCGCTCACATAGGGAACCCACGTGGCTTGACCCACGGCTACGCCCTAGTAACAGCAACAGGTAGCTGCGGCAAGCCGCTGTCCACCAGCCACCGACATCCTGAAACACCTGATCTGCTTTTGAAACATTCATATCAAACATTTACAACATACTCTGAAACAGATGAAACACTTGAAACATGCGTGTATAGGCATAACAATATATGCAACATCTAGATAAAAACACTTGCAACATAATATGAAACACTTCAAACATATTCTTGAAACATGCGGGTAGAGTCATAGCAACATATACAACATCCAGATAGAACACTTAAAACATACGTCTGAAAACATCTGAAACACTAGAAAAATAAGCTCGCAACATGCTTATACTGTAATTGCAACATATGCAATATCCCATATTCTACTTTTGCAACATCTAGATGAAACACTTGAAACATAAGTCTGAAATGCCTGAAACACAGCGCCACCGGCGACCGCTGTGAAAGGTCCTAATGGCTAGATGGGGTGAATAGCCTATAAAAATTTCTACAACAACACTACGCAAAGCGGTTAGACAAATATGAGACGAAACAAATATTGCGCTAGCCTACTAAGAATGTAAGCCACCTACCACAATTCTAGTTAGTATTGTCTATAAGCACTCAAATGTTATGTCACTACACTAAATTAGTGAGCTCTCAAAGACTAACTAAAGAGCCTCACTAACCACTAGACATGACTCTTGCTTGCCCTCAAAACTAGATACACTAAAGGGCCAAGCTACACTAAGAAATGTAAATACGCGAGAAGGATGGAGTGTTATACCGCCATGTAGAGGAACGAGCAAATCACTAAAGGAGCCAATCAATCACAAGAATGAATAACAATGAAGATCAATCACCTCGGAATCAAATGATGACACAATGATTTTTTACCGAGGTTCGCTTGCTTGCCGACAAGCTAGTCCTCGTTGTGGCGATTCACTCGCTTGGAGGTTCACACGCTAATTGGTATCACACGCCAAACTCTCAATAGGGTGCCATACAACCAACACAAGATGAGGATCACACAAGCCACGCGTAATCCACTAGAGTTGCCTTTCGTGATCTCCCACAGGGAAGGCACAAGAACCCCTCACAATGTCGACGATCGGAGCTGGCAACAATCACCAATAGCCGCTCAACGATCCACCAATCATCGGGCCGTCTAGGTGTCGGCAAACACCAAGAGTAACAAGAACTTCACCAGCCCAAATCACCCAACTGGTGCCACAAGATGCTAGAACACTAAGCAATACATTAGAGGCTCTCCAATCTCACTCAAGATGATGAAATCAAGTGTGTAAGTGAGCGGAGTGGTGTGTTAAGCTCTTAAAGGGTGTATGCAGATGTTAGAAGTGCCAAAAGGGTCGCCAAGGCTGGCCACTAGCTCTATTTATAAGCCCACAAGTAAATAGAGCCGTTACCCCTTTGAGTCAGCTTCTGTAGGGTCACCGGACATGTTGGTGTGGCACCGAACATGGGGTGGCGGTGCCCCTCCAACGGTCATCCAACGGCTAGTCACTAGCCGTTGGGGCACCGGACAGGTGGTGGTGGCACTGCCCCTATGGTGGCGGTGACCACCCAGCCACAGCCTGAGAAACCACCTTCTTTGGATAAAAATGGCGGTGCACCGCCATCAGGGCGGCGATGCCCGCAGTGGTGCCCTGCAGCCCTTCCCTTGCTCTCTAGATAAAAGAGGCGGTGCCATCGCCCCACCAACGGCAGTGACCAGGCGGTGCACCGCCCTCTCCATGGTGGTGAACACCGGACGCACCGGTGCCCGTGCCTCCACTGTTGCTCTCGGTCAGAGTCCAGGTGGGCACCACCCTAGGGGTGGCGGTGCCCCACAGGGCAACCCACTGCTCTTGGCCTCCTAGCCGGTCACCGCCATAGGGGTGGCGGTGCACCGGACAAGGGGTGGCGGTTCCCTAGTGGCAGCACCCCAAGCCGAGTTTTGCCTCCGTTTCTTCACCTTTCTCACCACCTTTTCTAAATGTGCTAACACTCCAAGTGTTTCACCATCACGTGCAAGTGTGTTAGTATTTTCATAATCATTTTTCAAATGTTAAACACTTCTCACCGATTGTGCACTAGGCCTAAAATGCATATGCATGTTTTTCCAACACCTAGTGGCACTAGATGATCGTGTTGTCCGATAACAGCTCCTCTCTTAATAGTACGACCATCTATCCTAAATGTGATCACACTCGCTAAGTGCCTCGATCACCAAGCCAAAAAAAAACTCCTATTAAGTTTCACCTTTGCCTTGAGCTTTTTGTTTTTCTCTTTCTTATTTTCCAAGTCCAAGCACTTGTCATCATGGTCACCACACCATCATCATGATCTTCACCATTGCTCCATCACTTAGAATAGTGCTACCTATCTCATGATCACTTTGATAAACTAGGTTAGCACTTAGGGTTTCATCAATTCACCAAAACCAAACTAGAACTTTCAATCTTCCCCTTTTTGGTAATTGATGACATCCCTTTCACAAAGATATGAATTAAAATTCAATTTAATTCATGTTGCTTGCCCAAACATATTTACCATGTGTAAAAGGATATGGACAAGTTTTATGAACCTCAAATGGTAGCATTAGCCCCCCCTACATATGTGCTAAGAGTTTGGATTGAAAGCTTGCACATTTGCATGGAATTGAGTTGTGGGAGAGTAATGTCTACCAAATGATGTTAAGGTATAAGAGATGGACCTTTAAAACGTGATACCAATCGAAGTGCACCAATATACCATCCTTAGCACCATTAGTAACTAGACATGCACACAAAAACTAGAATACCCCATGAGATCAACATTAGAAGCAAGGGTCTAGTTTTCATAATATAAACACAAGTCTAAGTTACTCAACCTATGCATGCTAGTTTTTCATTTCAAACCTACAACTAGCATACACCACATAAGCATGAAATTTTAAATTTAAAACTTGTGTCATGCAAGCAAACATATGAAATACACATCCAAATACACCAATCAAGTTTATGAGCTTGCTCCCCCTACTTGTGTGCTCAAAATTTTAATTGATCCCCTTACTTTCTCATATCTCTCCCTCTATGCCAAAGTTTTCCCCTTTGTCATTTAACCTTATCTTTGTGCAATTTCTCCCTCTTTGTTATCAATGACCATAAATGTTCAATTTTAGATAGGTTAAGATTATCAATGTCAATCAACGGGGTGAGGATCATTTTCCTAAAATTGGTCCAATCTAGAATACTTGCCAAAGATATTTAACTCGATTTGATCCAAGGACAAGCTTCTTCACACCTCCAAATAAGGGTTATCTTGTACCATGTTGAGTTAAACACTTGTAGCTCATTTTCTAGATCAAACACTAGGTTCACAAGCCCACAAACATGTCATATGCTACCACTAGATTAAGTCAAGCATCGAAGTAATAGTGGTACCATACAAGCATCAAATTCATTTGATTTTCATGAATGAGCCTAAAAGATATGAGGAATGACTAGATGCACTAAACAAGTCCTTAGTAAAGGATGTATGCATGCCAATCAACTTTTACCTTGGATTGCTCGAAGAAGAGGCATGTCATATAAGTGGCGGTGCATCAACACATATTTGAGAAATCCAATATGTTCAACTCATTCCTTAGCTTACAAAACCTTTTCTCATCCAATGGCTCGGTGAATATATCGGTAAGTTGATCTTCGGTGCCCACACTCTCAATACAAATGTCCCATTTTTGTTGGTGATCTCTAATGAAATGATGGCGGACACCAATATGCTTTATTCTTGCATATTGAACCGGATTGTTGATGAGCTTGATTGCACTCTCATTGTCACAAAGCAATGGCACTTTTTTGAACTTGATTCTAAAATCATTCAAGATGGCCTTTATCCAAAGTATTTGTGCATAACAACTACTGGTGGATATGTATTTGGCTTTGACGGTTGATAATGCAACACTATTTTGCCTCTTTGATGACCATGAAATATGTGATCTTCCCAATAATTGACATGTGCCCGAGGTGCTCTTTCTTTCAACCGTGTATCCCACATAATCCGAGTCGGAGTAACCAACTAGCTCAAACTTTGCTCCTTTAGGATACCACAAACCAACATTTTGTGGATGCTTCAA